AAACTAATCCACTACCTAATCTCCTTACTTTAAACATACTCATCTTCCTTCCATTCTTCAAACTAATCCACTGCCTCCTCCCCCCTCCCATCCCCTTACTTTAAACATACTCATCTTCCTTCCATTCTTCAAACTAATCCACTGCCTCCCCTCTCTTCCCCCTCCCCTCCCCAATCTTGCATTGATTAGAGAGAATACCCTCCCTCACTAATTGTCTCCAGGTATAGATTTCTACAGAGTGTCATAAAAAAACTACATCCGGCTTTTCATTAGAAGTAATTAGAAGTCGATAAAAAATGTTTGGAATAAAATATAAAACCCACCTTATACCTACCGGTTCGAATGGCGTTTTAATCTAGTTTAAAGTCACATATTTTTCAAGACACCCTGTAGATTTCTTCTTAAGCACCTGCTTAGCTTAGGGGGAAAAGTAGAAAATTAAACCTGGTTACACACATTTTCTGCATCAATAGTCCTTCACCCTGTGTTAGACAATGTCAAATAATATGCAAAATCATCAAATCAATAATCATCAAATACGCCCACAAAACACAGGCGCGGACTCATGCCAATATCAATTCTTCTCATTTGTCATCTGTAGGCGCGTGCTTGATCTCAGAACATTTCCTTTAAGCATCTTTTAAAAATGATAGAGGTTTACTTTACAAGTAATGCAATTTGCAGCTATTCTCAATTTAAAAACTTTATAGCTTTTAATATAAATCTGGGGTTTTCAACCAGGTACTATACACTATACAGTGATAACTAGATAACAATGGAAGAGGAGGATAACACTATACCAATATTTAAGTGTATTTATAGCTGTTACAGAGCAAATAGTTTTACTAGACACTTATTAAATCCGTTGATAAGGAAAATGGGTCTGTTTTCACTGCACAAATGCGGTTTCTCCTGCTCATTGGACAGCTTAAAGTTATAGTTTGATTTTAAAAGTCGTCTTTCTATTCCAGAGTTTTCTGGTATTCACTGTATACCAATACTTTGTGTTAAGTTTCACACTCAGGCAATTAATGTATACATTCATTGTTATGTACATTATAGTGCAGATATGCTGTACAGTACAATTTACATTTCCTAATTTTAATATCCCTTGCATTTTACTTGTAAGTTGTACAATATATATATATATATATGTACATAAGGATGTTGTATTATACTTGTAAGTTGTACACTGTACATACGAAGGTTGTATTATATATGTATGTAGTATAAATATTTATCATGTAAGAAGAATATATATTATCAGTAAGTAAATCCCTTAAATAAAAGGTAAAGCTTGACATGTTGTTTATATGCAAAAGTTTTACATTGAACATGCATCATAGAGTATACAGATAAACAGATATACCTGAAAGTATACAGATAAACATAACTACACCTGAGAGTATACAGATTAACAGAACTAAACCTGAGATTATACAGATAAACAGAACTACACCTGAGAGTATACAGATTCACAGATGTACACCTTAGAGTACAAAACTAAGCAATAAACTATTCACAGATCTGTAAATCCTGCATACTCTCAGCATTGCTCTCTTGTTTTACGTGTGTATATTGATAAACCTCAGTCATATTTTGCACACAGGTTTATCACCAAAAGTGACTTAGCAGAATTAAAAAATAAAATCAAGCTGTAGAAAACGATGCTTAAATTTACATATTATAATGATCAGATAAAGTCCCTTTATGATCTGAAATACTCATTCGTTCTGTCCCTTTAAAAATAATTTAAAACTAAATTAAAGTTCAAATTTCACAAACATTCTAATATTCCAGTGGCAACTTTATTTCACTGGTAAAAAACACTTGAAAATTACGCTTCAGCAATTACATTTCTTAATCGATAGTAAAAATATTTTACATTTTATTTTTAAACAAAAGTTAAAAACAAACCGCATTTATTAGTAATCTGGTTTATTTCACTGAACCAGCACGACGTGGAAAAATGCGCAAAAGAAAACCAATGAAAATATAAAAAAAAATTGTCGGTGATATCCTGTTTGAACATTTGTAGTGATTAAGGCGCAACTCTGAATAACTAACTCCCCCCCCCCCGCATGCTCAAAGAAATTCAAAAAAGGGACTACGCATGGCCGGATTACTGGTTAAGCTTTACTTTTGAACCAATTTTTCGTCATATTATCAGAAACCATTTTATTTGACGATTCATTTTGAATATCATAAGGGCGCTTTTGATCTGTCTCATCTGTAGGAATCTATACGTATATTTTGCATGTCTGTCTATCTGCTTGTTTTTGTCAAAACGGCTGAACCGATCGGGTCAAAATTTGAAAATAATTTAAAATGACTGACTTTCAGGAGCAACAGTTTAAACCTAAATTTATTTACAGAAAGATGGCGCAAAGCACTTTAAAAGATTAAAACAGATTAAAACTTTACTGAGTTTATTCCGAAGCAGTCCGGACATATTTATCTCATGTTAGTTTTTTGTGTTTAATATGTAAAAAAATCGATGCATACAAGCGTGACATCTTTAAATATTTAAAATTTTCACTAATTTATACAAAAGAAACTGGTAAAAACTAGGATTTCTTGAGGGGAATTTTAGGAGGTGGCACAAGAGTGGATTGGAAAGGAGGGAAAAGGGGGTAAAGGGGAAGAAGTTTAAGGGGCAGGAATGAAAGGGGAGAAGCTAGGGGAAGGTGTTACTGATTATCTTGAAGTTTTCAGCCCATGTCAGAAATGATTTAGGGGAATTTTGAAGATTCAACAGATACTTCAAGATAACATTTTAGACCTCATTTCAGTGCTAGAATAATTTATCTTTTCAACTTAAACAGATTTTTAGTTCTAAAGTTTTATAGTTCTTTAGTTCGCTTGTTCTCTGGTTTTCTAGTTCTCTTGTTCTCTAGTTCTCTAGTTCTCTTGTTCTCTAGTTCTCTAGTTCTCTTGTTCTCTAGTTCTTCAGTTTTCTAGTTCTTTAGTTTTCTAGTTCTTTAGTTTTCTAGTTCTTTAGTTCTCTAGTTTTCTAGTTCTCCATTCTCCAGTTTTCCAGTTTACAATTATATAAGTTTCTACTTCTGCATAGTTCTCCAGTTCTCCAGTTTGTAAGTTCTATAGTTTTCTAGTTCTCTAGTTGTATAGTTATCTATGTCTCTATGTTTCTATTTCTCTAGTTCTAATTCTTCAGTTCTCCAATTCTCTAGTTCTTCAGTTTTCAAGTTCTGCAGTTCTCTATTTCTTCAGTTGTCTAGTTGTCTAGTTTTCTATTTCTTCAGTTGTCTAGTTCTCTATATAGTTCTTTAGTTTGTTAGTTCTCCAGTTCTCTAGTTCTCTAGTTCTCTAGTTCTCTAACTCTCTAGTTCTCTAACTCTCTAGGTCTCTTGTTCTCTGATTTTCTAGTTCTCTGGTTCTATAGTTTGCTAGTTCTCTAGTTCTCTAGTTATTTAGCTCTCTAGTTCTCTAGTTTTCTAGTTATCTAGTTATTTTGCTCTCTAGTTCTATTCTCTATTTCCATAACTTCCTAAATTTCTAAATCTCAGTTTTTGGCTCAGCAGTTCTAACTTCTTTTTTTATTACATACATTTGAATATTTAAAATATTAAACATTGTTTCAGGGGTTGATGAGAAGTTGTATGCCAGGATGGAGAAGGACAAGGAGTATGGAGACAAGGAGTACCCAGTCTACAAAGACAAGGAGTATGAGGACACGGAATATCCTGCCTATAAGAACAAGGAGTATAAGGACGAGGAGTACCCAGCCTACAAGGACAGTGTAGACGAGGAGTACCCAGCCTACAAGAATACGGTAGACGAGGAGTACCCGGTCTACAAGAATAAGGTGGACCTTGAGTACCCAACATACAAGAACAAGGAGTATGAGAACGAGGAGTACCCAGCCTACAAGGACAAGGTGGAGAGGGATAGTGAGGATTGGATGAGACCAACCCAAGAGTTCAATGCTGTAACAGAGCATTCTGCCGACTGGAACAGAATTAAAGATATTAAGGACGATTGGTCATCTGTAAAGAAGAACTACACAGACGAACGGTCCAAGATGGATGAACCAGCGGAGTTCTATAATAGGGGAGACGATTGGTCCAGTGTAAAAAATGGGCACAAGAAGGATTGGTCCGCCGTAAAAACAAATTACGAACAGGACTGGCCGTCCGCCAAAAAGTTTTTGGATGAAGTGAAGCCACTTGAAACAGGAATGGAAGAGATCGATTGGCTCCCAGTGCAGAAGGAGAAAGAGAACTGGAAGGACCAAGATCGGGATCAATCCAGTCCTGACTCTCAGTCCAGAGACGAACTGGAGTCTCCCAACCTACCCTACGTTCAGGGTGCGTTGAAGATACAGTTAACCGACAGAGGATACAACAACGGGATGGAGAACTCCACCGGAGGGTTTGGAGGATACAACCACGGAATGGAGAACTCCACTGGAGGTTTTGGAGGATACAACCACGGGATGGAGAACTCCAACAAAGAGTTTGGAGAGAAGGCTCTGTTTGCTCCTCGAACCTTTGCCAATGAAGGTTCTGAGGGAGAAAACACAGCTCCGAATTCTGTGAACTATTTGAAAGATACTGAGAGTTCAGATGATGAGCGGCATGAGAGTTCTGAGGATGAGGATGAAGGGCGTGGAGAGGTTGTTGGATCTCTCTCGTTCAAGATTCCAACGAGAGAATATGCTCCTAGAGAAACCTTCAAGGAGAAACTAAACGCTGAAGATGATAAAGATGTGGATGAAACTGATTTAACCTATCCTGATCAATTTATGAATATGATCAACAAGCCAGTGTATTCAGTCCAGGGTGAGTTAGGGAAGAATAAGAAGGAAGATGAAAACTTAAGCTCAGATGAGGAGAGGAATGAAAGTCCTAATTACATGGTTGAGAAGCCTGGAGATGGAATCTGGAAAATGGTAGAGCATGATTCAGAAATTGAAAAGAATAAGACGGAGCTGAACGAGGAGGAGCCGACAGAGTTAGAAATCCGAACCGAGACTAAAACTTACAACTTTCTGGAATCTGAGCCGGAGATAAAGAAAGGGTTGGATGATTTTTACAACTCTGGGAACGTGGTCTCAGGTTTTCTCGACTCTGCACTCTCGTCTCTGCAGATAAATGGTCTGTGCAAAACTAAGGTAAATCTATTTTTCAACAATTTGCAAAAAGTCTCGACAGTGCTGGACATAACAGATCATTTATCAATTTAATAGTTTTCAAGATTCTCTTCAATTATTATATTATCATCATCATTAATGTTCTCTTTTGTTTAATATTTTTTATCATCATAATTATCTTGATTATTTACAATATTTTTATATGATGGTATATTTTCGCTTTCCCAATTTTTTGTACAGTTCTACTGTTTATATTGTCATAAATGTTATTTTAGTAAAATGAAAAGATTAAATCTAAGCATATGTAAAAGTTAAGACAAGAGAAAGGCTTAAATAAATAAATAAACAGTTGCTGAGAAGGACTAAAAACATAAGCCGTTAATGGAACACTTTATTTCAAAATGAGGGGAAAGATATTTAAATAATGAATGATTATAAGAATAATTTATTTTTTAAAACTTTTTAAATAATTTACTATAGAGAGGATTATTTAAAAGAAAACTTTTCTAAAAACTATTTTAAACTTGTTAAAACATGAAGGATGAAACACAACTACTGTGCAGGGCCCATTAACTCATTTTTTGCAATATATTGTTTAGTTAGACACTAGACAATAGACATGTCTTTATCAAATCATTTATTTTCTAGGACACAGCTGATGAACAAGAGGTTGAGTTGGATATAACCAATGAATCCCCAGAGACGGTTCTGCAGGTTCTCAAGGATACACTAAGTGTAGATGCCTGTTTTGACAACAACCTGGAGAACTTGGACCAGGATCCATGTGTACCTGAGGAGATGGAGTTTAGTCGACACAAAGAGGCACTTGATTCTGGAGCTGTAAGGAAAATTGATACACCAGAGATCAAAGAGGTTGATTCTATTGCCGAAGAGTCTAAAGCAGTTGATCAGGAGCAAGAGGAGGTTGAACAGGAGCATTTGGTAGCTGAACAGGAACCTAAAAGTGTATTAGATGTCCCTGATGAAACCAGGAATGTGGAATTAGACCAAAGGAATCCCACGGATGAAGAAACATCAGCAGATGTTACTAACCAGGACTCTATCGAAATTCAAACAGTTGAGAATCAACTGAAATTAGCTATTAATGAGGTGGAAATGAATAAAGATGAAGGGGGCGCCAGCATGGATACTATTCTTCAATCTGAAAAGCAGGAAATTTTGACCTCTAATAAATACCCAGTCTTTAGTCAGGTTGAGATTGATAATATTGAAAGCTATGTAGAAGATTCTGTGTCTGCTTTAGATGCATTTAATGCAAAAGAGTTAGATGAGACTACAACAGATGAAGTTGTTGCAGAATCATTTGAAACAAAAGCAGAGCAGAGAATTGATGAAGAAGAGATTGTTGAGGAAACAATTGTATCTCAAGAATCAAACAGCGCTGAACTTGTGACGGAATTAGAATTCACTGAAGTGAACAAAGAAGATCAAAAAATCTTTGGTATGGATGGCGAACAAAGTTCAGGAAATCTCTTAACTGATTTAAAACCTCAAATTGAAGAAGCAGCATCAGAAATCAAAATAGCTGCAGAAGTAGTATCTGCTACAGAAGAAGAACCTGCTGCAAAAGAAGCTCTTCTTGATAATACAGTAGAATCTACGACTGAAGAATCATCAAATATTGCTGACATAGAAGCTTTTGTGGATGAAGAAACATTGGAATCTTCTGAAGAAACTTGTGCTTCTGAAGAAATCACAAAACCTATTCATGAGGAAGCGTCTACTGAGGATGTGGCCCCTAATACTAAGAAAACAATAGAAATTGCTGTTGACGAAACATCTGAACTTTCCACAGAAGAAGCTATTTTTGTTGAAGAAACACAAAAACAAGTTGAAGAAACACAAAAACAAGTTGAAGAAGTATTTGAGCATACTGTTGAAGATACTACCGAGACAGCAGCAGACAAAACTCCTACTGATGAGGAACCCTTTGGTGTTGAATTAACACAAGAACCTGTGGTAGAAGAAACTACTGCTATTGAAGAATCAATAGAAATAGTTGCCGTAGAAGTTATTAAAGTTGATGAAATTTCTGTATCTAAAGACACTTCTCTGACCCTAGACGTTTCTGTTGCTGAAGATACTCCAGTTGCTGAAGAAGCTGATAAATCTGCAGGGGTAGAAGAAGCTCCAGTTGCTGAAGAAACCCAAGATAAAGCTGCTGAAGAAGGTCTTGTTGCTGAAGAAGCTCCTTTTGCCGAAGAACCCCCAGTTGCTGAAAAAGCTCCAGTTCCAGAAGAAGTTTCTGTTGAAGAAGCTCCTGATGCTGGAGAAGCTCCAGTTGCAGAAAAAGCTACAGCTGCTGAAGAATCTCCAGTTGCTGAGGAAGCTCCTCTTGCTCAAGTAGCTCATGTTGTTGAAGAAGCTCCTGGTACTGAAGAGGCCCCAGTTGCTGAAGATATTTCTGTTACTGAAGAAGCTCCGGTTGCTGAAGAGGTTCCAGTTGATTCAGAACCTCCAGTTGCTGAGGAAGCTCCCATTACTGAAGAAGCTCCAGTTTCTGAAGAAGCTCCAGTTTCTGAAGAAGCTCCAGTTCCTGAAGAAGCTCCAGTTTCTGACGAAGCTCCAGTTTCTGAAGAAGCTCCAGTTCCTGAAGAAGCTCCAGTTCCTGAAGAAGCTCCAGTTCCTGAAGAAGCTCCAGTTCCTGAAGAAGCTTCAGTTCCTGAAGAACCTCCAGTTCCTGAAGAACCTCCAGTTCCTGAAAAAGCTCCAGATACTGAAGAAAATTCAGTTACTGAAGAAGCTCCTGTTGCTGAAGAAGCTTCAGTTGTTGAAGAAGCTCTTGATGCAGAAGAAGTCCCAGTTGCTGAGGAAGCTCCAGTTGCCGAGGAAGCTTCTGTTGTTGAAGAAGTTTCTGTTGTTGATGAAGCCTCTGCATCTGAAGAAGCTCCTGCATCTGAAGAAGCTCCTATTGCTGAAGAAGTTCAGGTAACAGAGGCTCCAGCCCCTGAAGAAGCTGTAATTACTGAAGAAGCTCCAGGTGATGCAGAAGCTCCAGTTGCTGAAGAAGCTTCTGTTGTTGAAGTAGCCCCTGTTGTTGAAGAAGCTTCTGCTTCTGAAGTGGCTCCAGTTGCTAAAGAAGCTACTGTTATTGAAAACACATTAGTTATTGAAGAAGCTCCAGTTGATGCAGAACCTCCAGTTGCTGAAGAGGCTCTAGTTGCTGAAGAAGCTCTAGTAGCTGAAGAAGCTCCAGGTACTGAAGAAGCTTCAGCTACTGAAGAAGCTCCGGTTACTGAAGAAACTTCAGTTATTGAAGAAGCTCCTGTTGTTGAAGAAGCCTCAGTTGATGCAGAAGCTCCAGTTGCTGAAGAAGCTCCTGTTGCTGAAGTAGGTCCTGTTGTTGAAGAAGCTTCTGCTTTTGAAGAGGCTCCAGTTACTGAAGAAGCTTCTGTTACTGAAGAAGCTCTAATTATTGAAGACGCTCCAGATGATGCAGAAGCAGTTCTTGAAGAAACTTTAGTTACAAAAGAAGCTTCAGTTACTGAGGAAGCCCCTGTTGCTAATGAAGCTTCAGTTGTTGAAGAAACACCAGTGGTTGAAGGAGCTCCTGTTGCTAATGAAGACCCAATTGCTGAAGAAGCCCCAGCTGCAGGGGAAGCTTCTGTTGTTGAAGAAGCTTCAAAATCTGAAGAAGCTCCTGAATCTGAAAAAGCTCCTGTTGCTGAAGAACTTCAGGTTGCAGAGGAAGCTCCAGTTGCTGAAGAAACTCCAGTTGCAGAAGAAGCTTCAGCTGTTGAAGAAGCTCAAGATGCTGAAGAAACTCCTGTTTCTGAAGAAGCTCCTGTTACTGAAGAAGCTCCAGTTGCTGAAGAAGCTCCAGTTGCGGAAGAGGCTCTAGTTGCTGAAGAAGCTCTAGTTGCTGAAGAAGCTCCAGGTACTAAAGAAGCATCTATTCATGAAGAAGCTGAAGTTCCTGAAGAAGCTCCTGTTACTGAAGAAACTTCAGTTATTGAAGAAGCTCCTGTTGTTGAAGAAGCTCTTGTTGAAGAAACACTGGAACCAGATTCTATTGTTGAAAAACTTACTGATAATGAGAGTGAAGCTCCCAAAATAGAAGCAGAGACAGAGCCAAGCACAAATGATGAAGTTGCTGAAAATGAGTCCAGTGATGTTGCAGCAGAAACCCCAGCATCAGAGGAAGTAATTGAACCGGTGGAATGTTTTTCAACCCAAGCTGAACCTTCTTTGTCTTCTCCCGATGACCAACTTGACAGTATGATTACTCATGATGACGTTGAAGAAAGCATTGAATCTACCCAGGATAAGGAAAATGTTATGCCTGAAGTGATTGATCAAGAAGATGCTCCTATTGACGAATCTGAACCAATGGCCGAGAAACCTGAAGAACACTCCTCTGATAGCATCACAGATATGGTAAACAAAGCAATGGAGTCCATGAATTCCACAGAAAAAAAAGTGGATGAAGCAGCAGTAACCATAAAAGAAACAGATTCTAAAACAGGATTAGCATCAAAGATAATAGGAAAAGCTAAAACAATTGGAATGAAAGCTATGGAATCAAAAACAGATGCAAAGAAAAGACCAACTTCAGGAACTCCCAGAGCTCCTAGTAAGCCTGTAGCCACTACAACAAAAACTTCAACCCTGGTGAAATCAGCAACCCCAACTCGGCCAACAACTCAAAATGTGAAAACTGCAACGCCCCTGAAATCAGCGGCCCCTGCAAGAACTGCATTGCCCCCTGTTAAGCGCAATGTTCCGGTAGTTAAACCTAACACGCCAGTCAGTAAAACCACAACACGTCCAAGCCCAGCTTCAAACCAAACCAAACAATCTCCGACCGCCCGTAAACCACTCCAAACCAAACCAAGCCCAGCTATTGCACCACGTGTAGCTTCCACCACGGCGGCCCCTCGTCCAGAATCCACACGGATAGCTCGACCTACCAACGTAAAACCACTTTCCTCACCGAGACCATCTCCAGGAAGACTCCCACCTCAGTCAAGACCATTATCGAGGCCATCCTCCTCCCCAAAACCAACAACACCTAGAATTCCTCTGCATCAAAGACCGCTTCCTAAACCTTCAGTCCCTCTGGTTAAACGCTCCACTAGTCCTGCTAAAAGACCTGCATCAAGAGCTTTATCCCGACCTAGAACCCCTAGAACTCCTTCAGTTCCCCGGGTTCCAATTTCTATCCGACCTGCAGGAAGTCTTCCTCCATTCAGGGTGTCAACCGCTGCTGGAGCTAAAAAACCAACATCACTGACGATAAAACAGATCAAGAGAACAGTAACATCTTCGCCCAGTACACCGGTAGAAAATGGATTCCATCATGACAACCATGAATCTTATGGAATTGAGCATGATGCTCCTGAAATGAATGGAGTTGACCATGATGGCCATGAATCGAATGGTGTTGTTGCCACCTCACCAACTGACTTGTAAATAGTAGTAGGTGTTAAAACAAGTCATGGCTTTTTTAATATTAGATCTATCACATTAAAATTGCATTGTAATTAACATATTCACTCTGATGTTTATTCTATATCCCTATTGTTTAAGGGCTGAATGCTTGAATTATCTTAAATTTTTCCATAGTATTTTATGTACATGCAATGAATACAACATTCTACACCATTGTTTGAATTTTACTATTGTAGTTAAGATATAAAGTATCTAGAATAAACAAGAAATATTTAAAAACTTACAGTTTGTTGTGACTAGCCTTAAAGCATTAAATGTATGTTAGAATAGTCTTAATGTAATTTGAGCTTCAACACAATCAGTCATCTTATTGGCGTGCCTAACAGGCTAACATGAGCATAAAATACTAAATTTTGGCAGAAATTTGTGCCAAAACTTACATTGAAACAAACCCATTTTTTTATTTAGCAGCTTCAGTACACCCTTCAAAAAATTTGTCAGTTGCATTTTTGAAATAAAGTTTTTTACATAATTACTTTGGCAGTATTATTAAGCTTCGTAACTGTAAAACAATATTATACTCGTATTTATTGGTAAAATGTAAATATAAACATTATACGCGCACACCCGCTTCATTGTAATGCTGACTTGCTATCAAGAATAATATAATGTAAAATGTTCACATTTTATGAACGTTGTATTTATAAATAAAATCAGGTTACTAAATAAATTATAATAAATGTAGATATTTTTTATTTTAAATAAGACAAAAAATATTTTTCAAGTGACAATTTTAAGTTAAAATATTCCATGTTGAAAATTTTCCAATGGCATTTTTAGATGAAAATATTGCAAGAAGCATTTTGACAATATTACAATCAAAGATGATCTATCCAATCTAACAATGTTACAATGAAAGATGATCTATCCAATCTAACAATATTACGATCAAAGATAATCTATCCAATTTAACAATATTACAATTAAAGATAATCTATTGTTGTATTCCGGATTGTTTGATATATGAGTGAACAGTCCCTTGAATCCAACAGGAAGCCAGATGAGTCAGGACATCCCGGACCGCTGCAGCGTAGACACAAGTCGCACTGCACATAGCCGTCCAGGGACCTGTGCTACATACCGTGCACAGACAGCTTACAGAGAGAACCTTTCTGAACGAGAGAGAAGAAGAAGAAGAAGATGAACCGAGTTTCANATCAAAGATGATCTATCCAATCTAACAATATTACTATCAAAGATGATCTATCCAACTTTAACAATTTTCCGAAATGCATTTTCCCAATTACAATTTCTCCATTCTCGGATTAAATTTAAGCCGCGGTTTAAATATGGTTGGTTCCACTTAAAATTGTATCAAATGTTTCAAGATTTAAGCCGGCGCTTAATTTAAACCGGGTTTTGGCGGATTTAAACCGCGGCTCAAATTCTTTAAATTCCATCTCTGGGCATTTTCCACATGACAATTTGCCAACTGCACACATGTAAATTGACCATTTTTAAAGATTTTCCTAGTGAAAAGTCTCTGTGGGTATTTTTCAAGAGCATGCATTTTCCCATTGGTAACTTCTAAAATGTACAATTTCTTAAGTGTCCTACCTAATTGAGAAAGTGTGGTTCTAACAAAGATTAAAAAATTTCTCAGCTTTTAAAATTTAATCTCAATTGCATCTTAAATAGGAGTAAATAGTTAACAAAAATGATAATATAAGATCAAATACATGAACAGAGCTGAAAAACTTTAGAATGGATATCGAGCTTCTTGATCCTCTCTTTTTGCTAATTTCCAGACTAAATTAGTCTATTAACATGATTAAATTTATATTTGTTTAAATGCTCTAAATGCCGGCTCATAAACAGCTGACTTCAGCTCAATCGGATATTAGTCCAATCGATATAGCATCGTATTTGTAATTGTTGTAAAACTTGACTTTTATACTGTAGGGATATCCAAAAAAGAGGATTAAGAAGAAAATCAAAAGTGTGTACATTGGATACTCAGATTAAGCGATCGGGATTAAGGATATATCATTCTAAAGTTTTAAGCTCTTTTAAGCTAATTTAGATGCGCAAATACGGGGTAAGATGAAATTAGATTTGGAAATCCAATCTTCTGCATTAAATATAATCTTTAAAAAATGTCCGTAAAAGAAATGAAACAAAAATTCTGATGACCTACTTCTAGTGAGGAACGCCGTTTTAAAGTATAATGTTCTATGCTATAGTTATCGTAATCCTGTAAATATTTATTGTTGAATAAAACACTAAAAATTCCTTAAAACTAACTTAAAACTAGGAACAATAGAAAATCTGACTCTGAGTTTTGATCAACTGGAATGAAGAGTTCCTTGTCAGTAATCTTCTACAAGAAAGCTGAAGCACCAAGGAAAGATTGGGCTCCGGGAGTGGACGGAGGAGTTCCATCGCTAGAAGACATCGAGGGGTTAGAGCTGAAGATGAACAGAAATCCTGGAGGAGTTGAACTACTTAGTGGAGAGCTGGAGCTACTTGGGTTGGATGGGAATGTCATCACCATTGATGAAGTAGCAGAACTACTTGAATCTGTGCTCGAACTACTTGGGTTGGATGGGAATGTCATAACCATTGATGAAGTAGCAGAACTACTTGAATCTGTGCTCGAACTACTTGGGTTGGATGGGAATGTCATCACCATTGATGAAGTAGCAGAACTACTTGAATCTGCGCTCGAACTACTTGGGTTGGATGGGAATGTCATCACCATTGATGAAGTAGCAGAACTACTTGAATCTGTGCCAGAACTACTTGGGTTTGATGGGAATGTCATAACCATTGATGAAGTAGCAGAACTACTTGAATCTGTGCCAGAACTACTTGAGGAATCAGTTGGAGATGAACTTGGAGCTGATGAAAATGTGAGAACCAAGGAAGAAGATTTAGAAGAGCAAGCAAAGCTTGATGTTTGTTCTGAGGATGAGCTTGGATTGGAGGAGAATGCAAGTATTGTTGGAAGATTTGAACTGGATGAAGATGATGAAGGGAATGTAAGGACTAATCCACAAGATGCTGAGGTTAGAGGAGCTGCAGTTGTAGTTATTGAACTTGAACTGCTTGGAGCAGATGAGAACGTTAAAACTAAAGATGATGTTTCAGTGGAAGAGCTGCTTGAAGATGACTTTGGAGGTGAACTTGAACTTGGAGCTGAGGAGAATGTTAAAACCAAAGATGATGTTTGAGATGAACTTGAACTGCTGGAAGATACACAAGATGATGAGCTTGAACTTGGAGCAGAAGAAAAGGTCAGGACCAGAGAGGATGTTTGCGAAGAGCAGCTGCTTGAGCTGCTTGAAGAAGATGAAATACTGGAAGAAGAAGATGATGAGGAACTTGAGCTACTGGATGTATTAATGGAACTACTTGAAGAGCTTAATGATGATGAAGAGCTGCTTGAGCTTGGCGCAGAGGAGAATGTCAGCACCAATGAGGATGTTTTTGAAGAGCTGCTTGAGGAGGATGAACTGCTTGAAGAAATGGATAATGATGAACTTGAACTTGAGGAGCTACTGGATGCACCACTGGAACTTGAGGATGTAGAGCTTGAGCTTGGAGCAGAGGAGAAGGTCAACACCAAAGAGGATGTTTGTGAAGAGCTGCTTGAAGAAGTTAATGATGAGCTGGAACTTGGATTAGAAGAGAAGACCAACACTAATGGTGAGTTTTCAGAGCTTGAGCTTGATGGAGAGGAGAGAGTAAGAATCAAAGCAGAAGATCCTGATGTTGGGGCTTTTGTGGTTGCTTCGCTGCTAGAAGAGCTAGGTGCTGATGGGAAAGTTAGAACCAAGGATGATGTTTGAGAAGAACCACTTGAGCTACTGGAAGAACCTGCTGACGATGAGCTGGAACTGGGAGCAGAGGAGAATATGAGAACTAGAGAAGATGTTTTAGAGGATGAGCTTGAACTACTAGAAGATACATCTGAAGACAAAGATGAACTATCTGAACTTGAACTAGGGGCAGAGGAGAATATTAGGACTAATGATGATGTCTTAGAGGAAGAGCTGGAATAGCTTGATGAGCTTGTGCTTGGATAAACCAAACAACCAGCACTTGTTGATGTACAAGCTTCTATAAAGCAGAGGTCCAGGCTGGTAATGGAGTCTGTATCTGGGATGCAAGATATATCAGCAGACACTTCATACAGCGTTCCACCTGAAAAAAAGCTAGAGTAAGTAGAAAGATGAATTTGTTTGGATTAAACTTATGCTAGCTGCAAATGTTTTAGAAATTTTTGAAATTCCATGGGTAACACCGAGCACTCAGGCTAAAATCATGATTTAATACCACGCATGGGTAAACAGAAGGGTTAATTATAAGTGAAAATATGAACCTGGGCAATGCATGTATCGATTTTTGTCCTTAAGGATTTTTAAATTTCAACTGCAAGGCTGTGCATCTTCTGCTAAAAAATATATATATACCTATGGTTGAATAGAAGGTCCATGAATGTGAAACAGATCCAACCGTCCCTCCACCGCCATTATTATCCAGTGTTGTGCAGGATATCTAAACAAAGAAACCTCTGCAACCTAAAGTTGAAAACTTTTGGTTTTCAGGCTTTGAATTTTGTTGGATCAAATGGTCGAAGTTAAAAATGTCAAACATATACACCATCAGGTTGCAAAGATATGCGGATGAGAAAATATTAGTTTGATGCAATACAAAACGATATTTATTCATTTAAACACTTTGTTTCAAATATCAAAAATTATAGAAGACAGTTGGACTTGTTAAAAGCTTTGATATATATTACTTTTTGTTTTGATTGGCTAAAACCAATTATTTAAAAGAATATCGCTAAACTTTGATAGAAACTAATAAAACTTGGAAATGATATAGAATCAAGAAAAGACGAAAAGGAAAAATTTAATCAGGGCATAACAAACTTTTTGATGAATTAATGAAATAATCAATTATCATTCTGATACACATTACAGGCTAGACTTATTTCAAATGGAACAAAATATTATTAAGTAAAATAGTTAAATAAATTAGTAAAATATGTGAATTTCAGTTCACCTTGTATCTACATAATAAAATTTAACATAATAATTACGAGTTCAAATAAAAGTAAATAGTATAAATGTCGTCTTAGTTAAACCAATGCCGCTTGCTGCTGCTTGCAGTAGAGATGTCAACGATAGTGTAACGTAACGTAAAATGTACGTTTTTGTACGTTACGTTACAATAATGTGTAACGTTTGGATATATTCTATATAACGTGAACGTTAAACGTTAACGTTATAGAAGCTCATACCTAACGTTAACGTTAAACGTTAACGTTAGAGGAACATACCCCCAACGTTAGCGTTTTGTGGAAATGTAACGTTATTTTTCTAATATCTAACCATTTGTCCTCAGCACTCATTTGTCCTCAGCACTCTTTAGAGCTCAGCACACATTGAGGCCAAAAAACCTCCTGGAAACCACAGATTTCATTGATCCATATGCCTGGTACTTACCGAAGGTGCATCTATCTTGGTCAGATCTGTTGAGAAAGCAAGCTGACAGACAGCATAAACTCCCCCGGACTCAACCACGAACTCCTCCCCGGATAAAGCAGTGAGGGCCCGGTTAACCGGCCTCAACCCAGCCAAGGTCTCGAAGGGTAAGGCGAGGCATGAAGTTAGGCAGAGTAAAGTCAATCCATAGGTCATCCACCTACAAAGGCAAGTGATAGCAAAAACAAAGATGCATCTTTTATAAATATACTTTGCTTGGGTGTCTGTACGTTTGTCTGGTTGTATCCAATAATTTTCAAAACGCCTAAATTCTTTCGGCCCAATTTTTTTGTGGGGCCTCGCATGACCCAAGGAGAGGTTTATGAATGTTCAGAGTTTTAAAATTTTTTAGATTTTGTAAAATTTCGAAAATCCACGAAAAAAAAATGAAAATCTGCATCTTATATAAAGCCCTTGTAATTCATAATTAAGTTGGTTTTATTAATGTTGTGAAAAAAATATTAATCTTCTTGTATTAAAGTCCGAAGTTTAAATCCTGAGACAAAAACTTGAAATTTAAACATTTTGTGAAAATTATCTTTAAACAATTCATATCTTGAAGCACCCAAAGTTTCAAGAAACGAAAATTCCTAAGAAGCAAAAAATTTAAAAGACAAAAAGATAAACTTTATCCATCGGTGAAGCGACTGCTTTTACTGCTTTGTGTAAAAAATCGAGAATTTATTAGAAGCTAAAACTTTTGTGCGGGATAGAGTTAATTTACGGCAATGCTTGATATTGATATCCATTGTGTAAAGTTCAAAGATTGGGAAAAAAAAGTTCTTCCTAATTTGAGTAAATTATTCCTATTGAGTTCCGAGCACAAACTATTTATGGCGGAATCATTCGGACGATAAAAGATAAGGATAACTGCTTTTTCAAGGGATTATCAACCGAATGAATTGACCTCCCCGGAACCAGATTTAAATATATTTTAAAATATCAAGAATTTGATGAATCACGTAAGCGTGGTTCAACCCCTTCTCATCATCTTGAACTGGTGCACAAAAGAAGTGGTTAAACTATAACATCTACGCCATGCACAGCTACAGTTCGATATTCATTAAAGAGAGTTACCAGCAATGTATGGTAGTTGAACTGAATTATTAAGTATTTTTTTAGGCATCATTAAATACCTATAAGATGTTTTTACGGTGGATATTTGTTCCGCAAGAGCGATAATTCAATCTTTAAAATCCTCATAGATTGTTCATTTTTGAGATTTGGTTTGAGAACTGGTTTTTAAAAAATTATTCAGTAACGAAGTCGAAAAAAGTAATAAACATTCTAAAGTACACTATAATTGGTTGTTTAGGACCAGGTTGAGAAAATAAAAATTAACTATTATCATCGACAATAAGTAATCTTATTTAGTTATTGGTTTCTGTAATGTCTCATTGTTGACAAACATTTTCTGCAGATTTTCTAGAACTTTTATTGAAAAGACGACATTTGAAGAATTAGAAGAAATCTGCGAACAAATTCATAAGGTACAAGAAATTTAATATAATGATGGAAAAAAATAATTGATTCAATCATTGATTTATTGAGTAAATTAGTTTACTGTAGAATTTTTAAGACATTTTTGTCGTCATTATTTAATAATTTAAAAAAATCGATTCTCAAAACGTAACCACCCTAACGGAGGATTTTGAACGTCGAATTTGCACTCAAACTCAAAAATTACACATCATTAAAAAGTTTTATATGTCTCATATGAATCCTAAAATAGTTCTACACAATACTACATTCTCAGTTCAACTACCATCCATTTCAGGTCACTCCCTATAAATTTGGTCCTGCACGGGGACTAATATTAAAATTTTGCAAAAAAAAATGATACGTACATGCTAAGTCTCGGTACAGAAGTAAGATTAGGACCCTACCAAACGACAAGTCGCATTCCTCGGTATAAAGCTATAGGTCAAAAGTGACCAACAGAGACTGCATGAATGAGGGATAACCTGCAGGACATTAATTACAGGCACTGACACTTGATAAAATTAACACCTGGGAGGGTTTAATAAATCTTTACTAATTTCAGAATTATCAAAAGTTGGCAACAAAAAATTTTTATTATTTAAGGAATATTCGGTAATATGTAATTATGATAATATATAAAGACTAAAAATAACAATTATGATACGTTACGCGTAATTACGCGCAACACTTTCTTTCACTTACGCGAAATTGCGTGTTAATTATGTTTACGAAAGAAAGTCTAGTTTCGCGAAAATAAGGCATACCGAGTAAGCATGCAAAATTACGTAATACAAAACCATTCCACAATTAGTAAAGCACATGTTAATTCTCAGAAATGAATATAGAACGAAAATATGTGTATGGATTTACGTGCTAGAACCATGTCCAATCTGATTGGATATTTTTATTACTTTCAAATTGAAGTTTCGCTTTTTAGGCGTAATTGATGCAAAATCTCGCGAAATTACCTTGTAGAAATTACGGTGTAATTTCGCGAAATTGAAGTTTCGCTAATTACGCGTAATTATTACAAAATTTTGCGAAATTACTTTGCAGAAATTAGGTCATAATTTCGCGTAATCCTGCGAAATTACACGAAATGAAAATTATTTCGCGTAACTGCACGTAATTTCGCGTAAGTGAATAATCTATTACGCTGGAAACTCTAAATAGTATTAATCATAATGATTTTAACTGCAAACTATATAGAAAGGGAATCTCAAAATGTTGCGACATTATTACTGACCTTTAGCTTCTCAGTTTTATTTAACGCATGTAAGTATGTATGAGTTCAGCACCAAATTTATCCGGCTACATTATACATATAAGAAATTATAAACTCTTCTGTTTTCCTCCATATCTGTTCAATGAGGGGATGAAGGCCAACCACAACAACTTCTATTCCGAGCCACATTCTCCTCATTTTCTCGTCCGAGCCACCTCTTAATCCTCGTCCTTCCAATATTATTTTTTATAAGTATCAAGTCCTCCACGATAAAACAATTTTTTAAAAATTGGGCCACTGCACGTTTTGAATTTTAGTAAATCGAAAAAAATAGTTTCAATTGAATTCAAAGTTTTCGAGTTCTATGTCCTTAAAAATGTTTACCTTTTTTACGCTCATTTTCAGATATTCTTGGTGTAAAATGCCGCAAATAATTCCGAGATTATAGAACTTTAATCTTTTTCTTAATTATAGTGAAAACTATAGATTTTTTCCGGGTGGTTCCATGGGGAAAATGATACGCATAGGTATGCTAATCATTTTGCTATTTATTTCATATCGCGAAGGTAGGCTATTACGGAGGCAGAAGAGTTTTAAGTTTTACCTCATTAAAGTTTGACATCATTCTCATGTCTCTAAAGATTCAAACATGATTTAAACATTTCAATACTTTAGCCTATCCATATGTGGCTCGTTCGAGAAGTTGTTGTGGCTGGCCTTCCTCCCCTCGTTCAATAAGAGGAGAAATGATTTCAATTTACTTTTTTTACGTGTTGCGACATTTTTCAAGTAACAGACGAACAAAGCTCACATTCACTCCAAATTTTTCTGGTTCTCGCTGTTTATATCAAAATATTTTTCTAGGCACCCTGAAGACGTGAAGGTATGCTCAGGTTATGGAGGTGCACCTGTGCATTTAAACATTTTATTGAATTATTAAATATTATTTAATTACTTTTAAAATATACTTAACTACCTAATGTAGGTACTAGGTAATACACGACACAGAAAGGATAGACGTGTAATAATATAGAACTCTTTAAATACTTTAGACCAAGGTTATAATGCAAGGAAAGTTATTACAGAGGTGTACGCATCTTTTGTACTGCAGTGTACTGTCTCTAGGTGGTAATGTAAACACAAGACGGATGTCAAAGCCTGACATGGGATCCATCTTTCACATAAACAATCTATGAAATATTCTGGTCATAGGAAACTTTTATGTAAATTACCAAAATTATCAAATTTATTGCTTTTAACCTTCTTGGATACTAAACGAACACGTGTTTAGAAATTCCGCCCAGAGAGAACTGGTTTCAATATGTACGCAGAGTATACAAAACTGCAATTAACGTCTGCAAAAATTTAACTGAATCAATATTTCATTTAAACATTATTTTTTTGTATATTAGTATTTACAATTTTGAATAAAGCGCTAATTTGAAGTTATTTTCTTGATGACTTCATGAGCGCCAACTTTTCTTCGTACAACCTTAAAACAAAACAAAAATATTCTACAGTCAAACCCTTAATAACGAATACATCGGAAGAATTTATCAAATGTCGTCTTGACAATTTTTCAATGAGTTTTTTATTGTATATTACGAATTACGTAAATTTCAGTATTTGCGAAAATAAATAAATAGCTGAATATGCGGGAACAGTTTTAAAGAGTTCCATATAATCATTTAATTAAAAAGCTAAATATCTGCAACATTCCATTATCAGAAAGTGAAGAATACGACATTTGATGAGTTCTTTCGATGTATTCGTTATTAAGGGTTTTATTTTTATAATTTAAGCTTATAACAAAATAAAGTCTGAAGTATATAGCTTACTAAAGCTGGTTAAAATTGGGATTCCTTTTAAAACAAAAAGAATTAAGTCTTTGCCACAAAATCTGATATTTTAATCTCTATATCTTTGCAACCTAATGTCGTAGACCTTAAATATCTAAAACAAACATATTCTGTCAATTAAAATAGTATAAGTTTGAAATATCAGGTTGCAAAAATAAGAAAATGTTGTAGCTAAGACTTAATCTCTTTTTAAGACTTTATAAACATATGTTTTGAATCTTAAAATTTTTCAACACCACGACCTTCGAGGTTCAACTCCGCGACCTTCTAAATATCTAGCAGTGTTTCAAATTGAAGCCAAATGGGAGAGTTGTAATTTCCACAATTGTCGAGGAAATATTTTCCGAAATGTTTAAAAATTCATTAATTTATCCATGCATATTATGACCGTTCTTACATTTTGTTCCAGATTGTGGTCTCGAGAAATTTTGTTTCCGTAGATCGGATTTTATGAATAGCGAAAACTAGTTGAACGACGTAGGAGTTATCTTAATCCAATTTTTGATTAAGTAGAAACGGGATTACATAATTCAAATTTTAAATTAAACAGGAAACAAATAAACTTATAACTCTAATTTTCTTATCTTTATAATTTTATGATGACGTAGACCTTTACTATTTCAAATTATAAATTTTGCAAAGTCAAATTCTAATCAAGATTTAAAATACCAAAGGCTGCAAAAATAAAAAAATAAAATAAAAAATAAAAAAATAAAAAATAAAATTAAATTCCAAATCAGTTCCTTTACAAGTCTTTATATATTTGCTTGTCTGTTTTTTGTTCGAACCAAATAAATGTCAACACGGCTAAATCAATCAAGTCAAACTTTTTTGAGGCAACTCACATGAGATGGTTTACAGATGATCAGAATTTTAAAAATTTCTATTTTTTTTAATCCACGAAAACAAATCGATAAAAGAACAACAATTGAAAGTTAAAATTGAAGATGGGCGAGAAGCGCCCTGGAACTGGAAGCCTGGTAAGTATTAATCTACCTAGCCTTCTCTTCCATCTCTTCTAGCTCTTGCTGCTTATTCCTGAACATTAATAAAACTAAAATAAACCTTTCAAAAACTTAGACGGCATACACCCTCCCGAAAACCTTAAAATACCAGTCTCTATATAGGTATACGTATTTTTACGTATAAATACGTATGCTCAACTTTTGGGTAAAGAACATACGTTTATTTACGTATTTTTACGTATTTATCATACCAAGCAATTTTCTAAATGCTTTGGTTTTTCAGAAACGTATTTATACGAAAAATTACGTATACCAATTAATTTTTCTAAATTTTTAGGTTTTTATTTGACGTATTTTTACGCATTTTTTAAAGGTTTTTTCTTTACTTAAAAAATGTATTTTTTTTAGAGTTAAAAGTTTGGTGCAAATCTAAAAATACATATAATTTCGTAAATTTCATACCAAGAAATTTTTCAAGTTTTTAGGTTTTTATTTTACGTATTTTTACGCATTTTTTTAGGTTTTTTCTTTACTTAAGAATTGTAATTTTTTAGAGTTTAAAAGTTTGATGCAAACCTAAAAATACGTATATTTTCGTAAATTTCATACTGTAAATTTTCTGGTTATCGCTGCAGCAATACCCAGAATATCGAATAGGAAGACGACATTGTTGTAATACTTAAGTGTATTTGATGTTGTTGCAATCAAATAGTTGTACTAGACAGTAGACACTTATTTTATCACTCAATTATTGAAATGGGGCTGCATACATTGCACAATTGCTGTGTCTTACGGTCCTTGGACTTTAAAAAGTTATAACTTGATTCTAGAAGTCGTCTTCCCATTTCAGTATCACTGTATTTTTGCCGCCCATATATTTTTAGAATTGAAAGGATGATTTTCATTTTTCACATGCAGGATTAAGCCTTTATAGTTGGTGGTTGTAGGTCGTCATTAAACTATTAATCTTTCTGTGGGTAGCCATGAATTAAATGAGATGATGTGATATTTCTAATTTATAGTTATTTGTAAATAAGACCTTGAACATGTTTAGTAATAAATCAACATAAAAATATAAAAGTTACACATTACAAATCTTTCACAACGTTATACTTATTAAAAGAATGCATGAACGAAGACTACTTTTTGATTTTCCTTGTATGATTTAAAACAAATTGAGCCTTTGTCACAATTTTTAATCCCTATATCTTTGCAATTCAATGATGTAGAATAAGATAATTCAAAAAATGAATTCTTTTATATCAAATAATAAAGGTTTACACAACCAGATTGCACAGATTTGAGTTTGTGACAAAGGCTTAATTCCCTTATTTTTGAACCTGTAAAGATTTAGATTTCTGGCAGCAATACTTTCTGCTTCCTCTGCCTGTGTTCTGAAAAACTTTATTAAAGGTTTTGTTTGCTAAATAAATTAAATATTCCTAATTCAAGTTTGTAAAAGAGAAAACTTTTAAAATTTGGAAGTTTATGCTTCTAATTCAAAGATACGTTCTCTATAAAAACAAATTTTCTCAGCCTCATACGTTCTATTAAAATTACGACATGATTAACTTAAACATCAAAAATTTTGCACAAGTTTTTTTGGGAACTATAAAATTAGTATTTGTGCTGGCTATAATTTTACCCTTATCGATAATAATAATAACTAAGATAGCTAATAGCTAAGAAACAAAAAGCAGGTCAGTTCTTTATTCCTAATACATGTTTAAAAAGTAAATTAAAACCCCAGTTTTGTAAAATTGAGACAGTTAGATTAGAATATGTCTAACTGTATCTAAACTTGAACCTGCATGATTCCAAGGTATTCTGTAGACTCTGTAGCATCCTGTCCATATTTGTGGCATGCCGGGCATCCTCTTCAGCTGCACTCTCCAGCGTTAAAATCTCCCTGAGTTTATTAAAATATAAATGTGTATTGTGCACGATTAAAATGTACAATTTTTTTAAGAGCAGAAAGCCGACTAATCTTTAAAATAAGATCCTAGAGTTAATAATCACAAAATATCTCTAATCTGGGCATTTTCAAAATGTGGTCCGACTTTTAGTGCTTTCATTATTACCGAAGATATAAAAAATTTCGTTCAGATTTAGAAAAATTTCGTTTAATTTAAAAAAATTTAAATCTGATAGAAATTCTTAACATCTCAGGTAATATTGCCAGCAGAAAAAGGGCAGACAACATTTAGGAAATGCCAGGACTAGGAGAATCATTTTAAAAAATCATACATGATAGAGAAGGTTGACGACTAAATGTCACAAATAAATTCAATTTCAAGGACGATTTTTAAGTCTTGCTACTGCCAAAATAAAAAAATTAGATCACAATGACTTCATACAAAAGGACGGTACTAAAGATGTAATACATCAATTGAATTCTCTAACATTTTCGATGTTAAGGGTTAACTTTTAATGCCTTTGATAAAATATTTAAATATTTAAATGCATGAAGCAACTTTGAATGAAAGAAAAAACAATTGTCTCATTATTTGTGGGTAACCCTGTATGTGACGTTCTAGGAGTGACTAATGCACAAATCATTTTTCCTACCTTAAATAATTTCAATTAAAATTGCTACCTTTCCCATTTGTTCTGAAGTTTGGTTGCAGCCTCCCTACTCTTCTTAGCATCTTGCAACCTTTTGTCTGAAGTCGTCGTCGGTATATATCAATACAGTAGAGACGACTTTCTTTTTTAATTTTGATTTCTACTAAGCTTTAAAACAGAAGAAACAAATAAACATTTAAACAAAAAGAACTAAAATATCGAGTGCTTAGGATTGTAGATTAGCTCATGCAAAACTTTTGACCTCAACTGTGAATGGCGGCGTCAGATTTTTAGTTACAACCTCAGTGGCCGAATTTAAAGAATTTGAGCTGCGGTTTAAATTTGGTTGGTTCCACTTAAAATTGTATCAAATGTTCTAAGATTTAAGTCGGCACTAAATTTAAACCGGGTTTTGGCGGATTTTGACGGATTTAAACCGCGGCTCAAATTCTTTAAATTCCATCTCTGGTAACTTATTTGTTGTATTATTAAAAATTAGAATTAATATCAAATTGCTAATCATTATTTTAACATTTACCTAAAAGATCTAGCTTCTGCTCTAGGAGGTATTCATCCATATTGATAATCTTCTGCAACTTTAGTTTCAGTTGAAAAAATCCTTCCTCCTGAAATAATAATAAAAAAAATAGAACCAAAAGAACATGAAGATATATTACAAATAAGTTTAAAGTTAAAATTATAAGCTCAGTTTTGATTTATAAAAATCAGCCACGACTTAAAAATCGTCTAAAATAGTTTAAATTTTATGTTAAATCATTTAAAGCTAAACTATTAAAATTTGGTGCAGTATCCACAGCACAGGGTAACCCTTAAAAGAAAGATAACGTTTTTAGGAGTTATAAACCCTGATATCACAATATAAGGTGCACATCTATAGCTTTGATATTTTAGGAGTTATAAACCCTGATATCACAATATAAGTTGCACATCTATAGCTTTGATATTTTAGGAGTTATAAACCCTGATATCACAATATAAGTTGCACATCTATAGCTTTGATATTTTAGGAGTTATAAACCCTGATATCACAATATAAGTTGCACATCTATAGCTTTGATATTTTTAAACTGCACACTGAGATGAGTAAGGAAAGTATAACTGAAAAAGTTTAGGTCAGCACATATTGTATATATATTTTTATTTGTATATATGTAATATATATATATTGAGAAAGCACTTGTAAACTGTTGAAACGAATAGCAACAAAGCCAAGATTAAAAAAAAACATTTTTTCAATATATAATTTAAAAAGTAATTATTCAAAATCCGGAAGGCATATGTATCTGTATCTCCTAAATATATGAATACAAGTAAGGTATATGTATCTCCTAAATATATGAATACAAGGAAGGGATTGTATCTGTGTCTACTAAGATATAAAAATGCAAGGAAGGTAGTGTATCTGTATCTCCTAGATATATGAATACAAGGAAGGTATTGTATCTGTATCTACTGAGATTTAAAAATACAAGGAAGGTAGTTTATCTGTATCTCCTAGATATATGAATACAAGGAAGGTATTGTATCTGGATCTACAACGATATAAAAATGCAAGGAAGGTAGTGTATCTGTATCTACTAAGATATAAACATACAGGAAGGTAGTGTATCTGTATCTACTAAGATTTAAAAATACAAGAATGGTAGTGTATCTGTATCTCCTAGATATATGAATACAATGAAGGTATTGTATCTGTATCTACTAAGATTTAAAAATACAAGGAAGGTAGTGTATCTGTATCTCCTAGATATATGAATACAAGGAAGGTATTGTATCTGTATCTACTAAGATTTAAAAATACAAGGAAGGTAGTGTATCTGTATCTCCTAGATATATGAATACAAGAAAGGTTATCTGTATCTACAAAGATATGGTAATACAAAGCAGTTAGTGTATTTGTATCTACTAAGATATAAAAATACAAGGAAGGTAGTGACTTGGTAACATTTAGCCTTGATAACATCTTACTGCAATTTTGCCTAGTACAATTTAATACAAAACACTCATTTATGTCTAATGCACTTGGACTAGACATATCAACCAGCAGCGGAAGAAAACAGAAATCCTTAGACAGCCTGGGCAGGTTAAAATATGTAGGAGTTATGATACCATCCCGGATTCAAACTACATCAAAATGATTGCTCATGACCTGGTTAAAGAAAGATGCTAAAGTTTCAATAAAATGTCCATTGTTAAACCTAGCATGACACATATATGTATTGTAATAATAATAAATAGTTTATATTTATTCAAGTCAAAGAGAGATGTTACGAAGGCAAAATGTTATCAAGGCAAAATGTTAAAGCATCATTTTTTTCAAGATTTTTTTTAAAGATTGTACTCTTATAACGTTCTCACCCTTGTACGGTCAGGGACAAGTTATTTGCGAAGAGCAAAAAAGGGAAATGAGTCCATACTGAAACAAAAAAAGTATATAAATGATTTTAAGACAAAGACTAAGAATTTAATAATCATACCATTTATTTTAAAAATAACAATTCAACAAATAAAATTTTCAACCCTGTTCTATTTTTCAAAATCCTAAAATCACATATAATTGATCACTGAGTTAACTTATAATGGTACCATTTCACCTTTTTCACTACCTCAAACTGTATCTAATATTAAGTACGGTCTAGCTTCTCAATATTTTCATAAGAACTACTCGATTTTCAATTTTTGGAAGAAAATAAGCGACAATTATATATTCAGGAGATCAACAGAAGCTGGTTAATATTCATCCCATTCACTAGAGTTCACAATAGTTAATTCGTTAGTTGATCAGTTTCATTACCTTTTCAATTCGACAAACATCATGGATATGATTAAAATTTAAAGGAAATTAAAGAATATTGTCCACCATTTATTAAACAAATAATATCAAAAAGGAATTATCATTTTACCTCCCAACTCCCGCTGTCATTACGAATTTGAATTAAAGCCTGGGTTTATTAAAAATTTTAAATATTTCTTATTTCTCTTATAGCTTTTAGATATCTTAAATCTATGATTTTTGTTCCTGGTCTGCAACTTCCGGAACAACTTTCTGCGCAACCGTCTTATTTTCTCCATTTGTTTCCTCATCTGAACTATATCATCAGATTTCTTCAGATTCTGGTTTCTAAACATAAAAACTAAATCAGTAACCAGTGGCCGAATTTAAAGAATTCGAGCGGCGGTTTAAATTTAAGCCGCGGCTTAAATATGGTTGGTTCCACTTAAAATTGTATCAAATGTTTCAAGATTTAAGCCGGCGCTAAATTTAAACCGGGTTTTGGCGCATTTTGGCGGATTTAAACCGCGGCTCAAATTCTTTAAATTCCATCTCAGATCTAATGAATAGGGAGACAAAGTTGAACTGTGTGGACGTTGAACCATTTCTCTTCAGGGTGAACCAGAAGAGAAGTGGATCAACTTAGTCTCCGCTGCTGTTCAACCTCTTCTTACTATTTATTAAAGCAGGTCCCTAATCAAACAAAAAAACCTAAGTTATCATATGATTATTTCATTTGTTGGATGATATAATTTGTTTTTTTTTTGATCAATTGACAAATCATCAGGAACCAAAGGAATTGAGTCTTTGCAACAAAAACTGACTTTCTAATCCCTATATCTTAGCAACCATAACGTCGTAAACCTTTGATATTTCAAACTATAAATTCTGTTAGACCTTTTTCAAAAATGATAAGATTGTCAAATGCTTTATCCAAATTATTTGCGGTTTATAATTCTTACATTTTTAAAAATTTTAGTCGTCAAAAATTATAATTTTAAATAAAATATACAAAAAATATGGCATCTATTTAGATTTTTTTCATTTAAAATAGTCAAGAACTTTTTTTCATTCCTTTCAAAATTTATCATTTTTCCCTCAAATAATAGTTATAGACTGTGTCCTATATAAAAGCTGCCTACACTTAAGGCATTACACCTATGCTTGTATGAAATTAATATTTCTCCAGGAAGGTCATTTGTAATCAAATAATTGCTGTGCTTTTCCTCCTTTGTCAATCAACAAAAAAATATTTTAATAAAAACATTCTCCTCATTCAAAATACAATTAATCAGCCAATTAAAATCATTCATTGACAAGCCAAAGATTTCGTTCTACAAACATAAAATTACAAACTAACAATTATAAATACATTTAGTTTCTTGATCTAAAAATTGGATATCACCTGGCATGGGAGAGATCCAACTTCAAACCCTTTCTTGTCTACTTGTTTTCTGTGAAGAAGGTTAACCAATAGTAGAGCTGGAACAGAGAGCATATCTTCTCTCCTCTCTTTTGCAAAATCATTTTGTTATGTTCATCTGCAGTATCGATTCATTTACTAATAAATGTACAATGTACATGGTTACAACTTTAATTACAGGGTGGCCAAAACATTTTTGAACCCATCCGTACAAAAATCCGTACATTTTCAGAAGAAATCCGTACAATCCGTACAATTTTCGAAAAACAATCCGTACAATCCGTACAATTATAATATTATTTAGAATGCAGAAAATAAGTTAAACTAACTTCATTTTGACGAGAATTTTTTGTACAATCCGTACAATTTGAAAACAAATCCGTACAATCCGTACAATTTTAGGGTTAAAAAAAATCAATCCGTACAATCCGTACAATCCGTACATTTTGGCCACCCTGTAATTATGTTCTGTTTTAAGAAAAAAAACTGGGTTCCTCAGTAAAGTCTCGCAGTGATGAGGAAGGTGCACAGATCAAAGCATCAACCATGGGTGGTTTTTTAAGCTCTCCTTACATCTGTCTCCATAATCAAATAATAGTTCTGTATCTTTCTCAATATCCTGTAAAGCTACTAAGATCACTCTAGGAATATTATTTAAGGTAAATACCTTTGGAACACAGTTTGGAGCCTTGCAGCTGTGATTGACAAGACGCCCCAACCTACCAGTCTCCTTTGTCGCATCAATACAGTATTGTTTATCTTTGTATTTAAAGTAATACATATAACAACCTTTGAAAGTGTCAAGGGAGTACTGGGTCTCCCTATGTTTAGCAGACTCTTTGTTTATTAACTCCCCAGCATACTCCAGGACAAACTCGCCCTTCTTGTAGCTACGGAGTGTTACAACACCTCGCCCTTTCTTATAAATCTCCTGTTCTTTAAGGTCAAGACTGTCTTCAGTTGCTAGGAGACGGGCTTCAATATCCAATATCTTCTCCTTTTCCAGTTCACTTTTACACTTTCTCTTAGATCGCCGAATAGGAGGAAGAGGAGGAGGAGTATGAGTATGAGTAGGAGCAGGAGGAGGATGTGGAGGTTCATCTGCTTCTTCTTCGTCGTCAGAACAATGAACCTTAAAGGGATAATCAAGGATGCAGTTCAGAACAATTAAATGATTATTTAAGTTAAGTTAAATGATAATTTATTTTGAAATATCAGAACACAATATATTCTTGAAATATTTTTATTGTTTCATTATTAAAACTTTACCATATACGAAAAACTTGTTTTTTTTTACCAACTTGTGATTTATTGATTCCAAATCTCTGAAATGTCTCAAAATCGCAACATGTTCCAAAACGTGTTTTGCGCCCAAACTTTGCTTTTGCTTAAAAAATGTGGCATTTTCTAAAATTAAATCAATAGTCATTAAAAATTTTAATTTGTCTATTGTAAGGATATTATATTTAAATAACTAAAATTGTCGCCTTAAATATTCTAATTTATAGTACAGACAGGGTTTTCCTTCTCAGCTTAAATTTAAATACAATGACAGTTAAAAAAGAAAACTTTTTGGCCCATACCTGAAAAAATTGCTGTTGGAACTTGCATCCTCTGTAGTTAGAAAAGTAAAAAAAAAAATCACATCAAAAAACGTTGCACCCCCCCCCCCCCTCTCGGTATAAGATTAACCCATTAAATCAGTGCTCAGGACCCAGATAAAAACGATTAAAAAACTCTCAAAGCCCAAATTTCAATGTTAAAAAATGCGAGATTAATTTTTTTCCACTCTGAATCCTCAAGTTAAAAAAAGCATGGGAAAAAAATAAAGATTAGTTTACCATGGGGTCTAATTCCTCTAATACTGATTCTTCGTCTTCCCCATTACTCTCGTATACTAAAAATAGTACAGGGTGCTGTGTTGCCAAATTAAAAGGTCAAAATAAAGTTACGTCTGCTAGAGTATATTTTAATATTTTATGTAAACGGTAAAAGACCGGGTTTTTTGAGAAACAACTGCACTGTCTTAGTATTCACGAATTTCTGATATTATTAAGTACAACACAGTGTGCAATACAAACATAAACAAACTATGGCGTTAATGAAATACTTAGGCATTTTTATTTAGCCAATAGAAAATATTCTTAACAAATTCTAGATGATAGAGTTGGCAAACACTGTTTACTATAAATTGTTATTTATTTAGTCCTAATTCTTCACATTTTGAAGTTAACAAATTATAACACCTCCCCCCCCCCCATCCATAGTTCTACATTCATTGATGTGGAGGGGAAACCCCTAATAATTTGTTGTGATGTTTGAAACATAATAATAATGATAACAAGATGAGTGCTATTGAAGTGTACCTATGAGAGGAGGACGGTAAGGTTGAACACGGACTCCATTCTTTTTCTCTTCCTTCTTCTTGTAAAGTAAATCCATCTTAAGTTTCAACTTTAAATACAAATTATTAAATAACGAAAGAATTGACGCATGTTAAACCAGAAATAAATGGAAATGCAGTCAAAACATTACAAACAAAACTGGATAGAAAAAAAAGTTAATTGAATGAAAATAAATTATTCCAAACCTTAAATGAAAATTAATATATATAAATAAAAAAAGAAAGCAAACAAAATAAGAAAAATAAAAAAATTCAGTTAAAACATAAAGCTGAAACCAACTGAATGAAAATAAGTAAATTAAAGGGACAGACCGGCTATATAAGGTAGTTGAATCGAGTATGCAGTGTTGTGGACAAATTCTTTAGAATTCATTAAAGGCATATAACATCCTGAGTTTGAGCGCAAAGTCGACGTTCAAACTCGTACTTTTTGGTGGATACGTTTTAGAATTTTTTCTTATTATTAAATAACGACGATAAAAAATGTAAACAAATTCTACAGTAAACTAATTTGGTGTTTAGGAACAGGTGGAGAAAATAAAAATTAAGCTTATCATCGAAAATTAGTAATCTTGTTAAATTATTAGTTTCTATTTTCTCATTATTCTAGTTTCTCATTATTCACAAAGATTTTCTGCAGATTTTCTGCAATTATTATTGAAAAGACGACATTTGAAGAATTTGTAGAAGTCTGCGAATAAATTCATAGAAAATAAAAAATTGAAAATAATGATAAATATGAAATAATTGATTCTAACATTGATTTATTGACAAATTTCTTTTCAGAAATATGTTCCTAAACATCTAATAAGTTTACTTCATAATTTTTATTTTATTTTACGTCGTCCTTATTTAATAATTAAAAAAAATCGATTTTGAAAACGTATCCACCCAAATTCATGATTTTGAACGTCGACTATGCACTCAAACTCAGTAATTATACATCGTAGAAAAGTTTCATACGTCTCAAATGAATCCTTAAGAATTTGTCCACAACACTCAGTTTAACTACCTTACCTTAAATGAATTAGAAATTATACGAAAGCTAAATGAAAATCATAGTTAATCACAGAAAAAGAAACAAAAGCAAAACAAACTGTTCTAAACTGAAAAAAATACAAGAAGTCAATGATAAGAACAAGATTAAAAAAGTACAATAAGTTAATAAAGAACAAGATTGAATAAAAATTATTACTCTATTGATCTCTAAATAGTTTGCTGTCCTCTGTTCCATGATGTTGTTCAAGGGTATTAGAATATCCTAGAATATGAACATATCTGAATATTCTATAATATAAATATATCTGAATATTCTATAATATAAATATATCAGAATATCCTATAGTATAAATACAGCAGAATATCCTATAGTATAAATACAGCAATACATCCTATAATAGAAATATATTATAATATCCTAGAATTTGAACATATCAGAATATTTTAGAATATCAGAATATTTTAGAATATCAGAATATTTTAGAATATCAGAATATTCTAGAATATAAATATATCAGAATATTCTAGAATATAAATATATCAGAATATCCTATAGTATAAATACAGCAGAATATCCTATAGTATAAATACAGCAGAATATCCTATAATAGAAATATATTAGAATATCCTAGAATTTAAACATATTAGAATATTTTAGATTATCAGAATATTTTAGAATATCAGAATATTTTAGAATATCAGAATATTCTATAATATAAATATATCAGAATATCCTATAGTATAAATACAGCAGAATATCCTATAGTATAAATACAGCAGAATTTCCTATAATAGAAATATATTAGAAATATCAGAATTTTCTAGAAAATAAATATATCATAATATTCTAGAATATAAATATATCAGAATATTCTAGAATATAAATATATCAGAATATTCTAGAATGTAAATATATCAGAATATATATATATATTCTGATATATTTGTATTCTAGGATGCATACAATTGTCCGTCATGGTATAAATTAATTGGGATTAAACAGTTTCAAAGTTTATTTATCAAATACATCTGTAACATTTATTATGTTTTCATAAGTTCCTTTAAATATTCATCTGCTACAGTTTAGGATCTGCCTGAGCAGCTTCCTCTACTACTCTATCTCGTTAAGCTGCTCCCAGAGTATTTGTTATCCCGCAGCTCTTTGAGTCCACCTTATGTTAGCTGTTCTTACTATCTGAGCTGCTCCCGGAGCTGTTCCTAGAGTCCCTGCTATGCCGGCCATACTTACAGTTCGTGCTGCTCCCTGAGTTATCCCTAGAGTCTCTGCAATGTTAGCCTTACTTATAGTTCGAGCTGCTCCCTGAGCTATCCCTAGAGTCTCTGCTATGTTAGCCATACAAAAAATCCGAGCTTCTCCCGGAGCTGTCTTTTGAGTTTCTGCTAGGCTATGTTAGTTGTCTTCATAATCTGAGATGCTTCTAGAGCTGTTTCTAGAGTCTTGCACTATGAGATGCTCCAGTTCAACATCTATCTGAGTCGAGAAGCTTCCTCATCTCAATATCTCGGTTAGCTATTCCACTTCAATATCTATCTCTTAGCAATCTCTCAACAACAGATTCCACATTCACTGCTGGTTCATTTGCTGCTTCTACTGTAAACCTAACTGCTACTGTGACTGTTCTGGAGTCTCCTGCTGCTCCTACAATCTGAGATGCTTCCACAGCATTCCTAGCTGCTTCCTTTGCTGAACAGGCAATTGATCTGTGAAGAGCTATCTACGAGGAGCAGTGTCTCCTGCATCAAGATCTCTTGTTCCTCAACTGTTTCTGCAATAGATCTGTGAAGAGCTGTTCCACAATGAGTGGCGTCTCCGTTCTCAGAATCCTCTTCTTCCGAAAGTGGTTTCACAACAGGTCTGTGAAGAGCTGTTCCACAATGAGCGGCGTCTCCATACTCAGAATCATCTGGTTCTGCTACTTTTACAAAGGGGCGATGGAGAGCTGTCTGCAACGAGCAGCTTCTTTCATCTTTGATACCAGATCCTTTTAGCTGTAGACCTCATGGTTTCTCAATTATGTCTGGAGGACGATAGATCCCGTCCTCGTAGATCCTCATGATCTCTTCTTCACCTGGAGTCATTGGTCATCTATACTGGTATTCTGGCTGCTCCATATCTTGGGTGTCTCCATTTTGAGAGAAGATGGAGCTTCTACATGTCCTAGAGATCCTGGCTGCTCTGTATCTCGAGTGTCCCTATTACTAGAACCAACTCGAGAATATGGAGCTTCTGCATATAAACACCTTAGGCCCCAGTAACGCTGTTCATAGATCCAGCTGGATAATTACTCCAGGATTTCTAGAAAGGGACTCTAGTATTCAAGATAAATACTCCAGGATTTCTAGAAAGGTACTTTAGTACTGAAGATAATTACTTCAGGATTTCTAGAAAGGGACTCTAGTATTCAAGATAATTACTCCAGGATTTCTAGAAAGGAACTCTAGTATTCAAGATAAATACTCCAGGATTTCTAGAAAGGTACTTTAGTATTGAAGATAATTACTCCAGGATTTCTAGAAAGGTACTTTAGTATTGAAGATAATTACTTCAGGATTTCTAGAAAGGGACTCTAGTATTTAAGATAAATACTCCAGGATTTCTAGAAAAGGGACTCTATTATTCAAGATAATTACTTCAGGATTTCTAGAAAGGAACTCTAGTATTCAAGATAATACTCCAGGATTTCTAGAAAGGGACTCTAGTATTCAAGATAATTACTTCAGGATTTCTAGAATGGGACTTGAGTAATGAATATTCAAGATAATTACTCCAGGATTTCTAAAAGGGATTCGAGTCTTCATTAAAGTTACTCCAAGATTTCTAGAAAGGGACTCTAGTATTTAAGATAATTACTCCAGGATTTCTAGAAAGGGACTCTAGTTTTTAAGATAATTACTCCAGGATTTCTAGAAAGGGACTCAAGTATTCAAGATAATTACTCCAGGATTTCTAGAAAGGGACTCAAGTATTCAAGATAATTACTCCAGGATTTCTAGAAAGCTAGACTTGAGTATTTCTAGAAAGGGACTCGAGTATTCATGAAACTTACTCCAGGATTTCTAGAAGAACTTGAATATTCAAGAAAGTCGAGGATTTCTAGAAAAGGATTCGAGTATTCAAGAAACTTACTCCAGGATTTCTAGAAAAGGATTCGAGTATTTAAGAAACTTAAACTCCAGGATTTCTAGAAAGAACTTGAATAAACAAGAAAGCCGAGGATTTCTAGAAAAGGATTCGAGTATTCAAGAAAATTACTCCAGGAGTTCGAGAAAGGGACTCGAGTATTCAAGATAGAATATTCAAGAAAGTTACTTTAAGATTTTTAGAATGGGATTCGAGTATTCAAGAAAGCTTTTCGAGAGCACTTACGAATCTGAATGATTTCCTTCATGATAAGACAAACAGTTACCTGAATCACTGAAGGGGATGAGATGAGGTATCCAAAGTGTGTTTTAACTAGAACTCCAATCCACTTGGCAGTAGAAATATGATTTATACCTTTTCCCTAGATAAATAATAATAAGGGTGTTTCTTCCTTCACCTCAGCTATGAACAATTCACCTTTTTCAGATCTATATCAATAAACTAAATTGTAAAGGAGTTTTTTCAATAAGAGCTGGATTTCTTTTTATCTACATACTAGTTCTAGACATTATTATTAACACTAACTTAAAAAGCCTCCTCGGCCTTTTAGTAACAAATTTAGCTTTTGCACTGTCGCTTTTAAATTCGACCCCTGTCATCGTTCCTTAATATAATCATCTAACAAATTATCGAATTTTTTTATTTCAAATTTGTTTTATTTAAAAATCAATAAATGACGAAATTTTTCCCGGGCAACAATTTTCCATTTCGACTACTTTTGTTAAATGAGGCGCGGGTGGGCGCAATTTATTTAATTAAAAATTGAGTTTTGAAAGATTAACAATTTTATCTACTATTTTGCATGTTTAACATTTAAGCAATAATTATTCATACCGAAGCATCAAAAACGGGGCAAAAATCTTTCAAGAAAAAAACAATAGAATCTGAATATGTTCCATATAATACGCAAACTCGATAATAAAAACGCAAATACGGAAGTTCACAAATTGGATATAAAGAAAGGTCCTACAATAACAGTAGGAAACATTAATTTGGATCCCGACTCCCAGGACAAGCTGGTCTGAGAGGTTTTACATGAGTAGGGCAAAGGGTTTACGGAGAAGAGAAATATTTGTCTCGTCTACATAAAGTGGAGAGGGTGCACTCCCCCCTCCCTCATAGGGTATTTACCTTTTTAACTTTTTGAATTTTTGAATATTTACCCAAATTCAGCGGATAAAGAAAATAATATTATGATCTAAGAAAGTTACACTGTGATAGTGAGGGGTTTCCCAATGAACATGGGAATTAAGTGACGACTTTTTCATCGTCTTCAATTCATGCGACATTTTTCATTGCAGTATTCCAGTTTACACATCTAATATCGAAAATGCCTGGTCTTGAGATTTTTAAAATGTTGTCTACCATTTTTGTATCTTCAAAATTGACTGAAATAATGCAAAATTTGTCAAATTTCAATTTATTTAATAAATTAAAATTGTCATATATCTAATATCGATTGTCAATTTTTTAGACACAAGAAAGGTAGACCACTTTATGAAAAGCTCGTAAGACATACAGCCTCGTTTTTATACTTTCTTTGCGATCCATTAAATATCAGAAACCAAAGACGACTTTCAAGTCGTCTCTGAATTCCTATGTTTATTGGGACACCCTGTAGAAAGTAGGGTGGGGGGGGGGTCAATGATATACCTTTACTTCAGAATAAATATGCCGCAATAATGGGATAACAAAGGCCGTCGGTAGAGATGCAATAATTTTTCTAATGAGATCCTCATCTTCACGATCAAGTACGCCACCAAGGATACTTAAAATAATTATATGTTTCTAAGGTTTTGTTGAATTTTAATGTAAATTTTCTTTTTTTCACATTTAAAATGTAAATGATGGAGATATCCTTTACGTATTGGATTGAAAATAACAACCCTTCCCTTTATTAAATTAGGTTTAATCTATATACATGTGAATTGTAAATAATATACGCTTAAGCTGAATTAATTGTTTATGTGATATAAGCTTTGATGTAGAATTAAAACGAAAATAATTAATAAGAATAATCAGAAGTATTAAAGCCGAGATATCTTACAGTAAAACCCTTAATAACGAATATATCGGAAGAATTTATCAAATGTCGTCTTGACAATTTTTCAATGAGTTTTATACTATATTACGTAAATTTCAGTATTTGCGAAAATAAATAAATATCCAGGAATATGCGGTAACAGTTTTAAAGAGTTCCATATAATCATTTAATTAAAAAAATAAATATCTGCATTATCAGAAAGTGAAGAATACGACATTTGGTGAATTCTTTCGATGTATTCCTTATTAAGGGCTTCATCTGTATAATTTGTCTTAAACATGATGTTCTGAGAAAGACGACCCCCGAAAATAATTATCAGAGTTTACAGAGACTTCAATTTTGATTAGCCCTTGGCCGCATCAACTGAACTCGGTAGACATACAGACCTAGATAAACTTTTCCTTCAGATTTACGGGAAATCCACCAAAAGATATTCTGCAAAGACAGGGATGACTGTAGCCTGACACTTTAGAACACCAGCATGAGGAAACTGATTGAGCTTATTATTATGATCAGATTTAAAATAAAAAAGTTACCGTGGATCTTTACTCTGTAATCCCTGAACTAGAAGCTGTGCTAGTGTTTCCGGTTTGTCAGAATCCTTCAGACATTCATTTTAATATTTTACTTAATTCATAATCTATTCCAAAACTTGAGCTTTAGCAATATCCCAGAGAGGATTCATTCTGAAGTAAGGTGTGAATTTTAGGTATTAAGCCTTAGTTTATTTGTTTTAAAGCTGATTTTAAATATGAAGTTCATATTATTGATTACATATTTATACTTTAACATTTATAATGTGGCCAAATTAATGACATTTGGGTAAGAAAAGTCCCAAAAAAGTCAAAAATTAATTATAATGAAACTATTAAGCTCCGGAAATCATTTAAATATTTTACTAGTCTAAGTTAAAAAATTTAATTTGGATTAAATGATTCTAGGAATATAAAATATGAATGTTCCTTGGTTTGATTTAGTTTCAGCTTATCCAGCCTTTCCTCTGCAAGATAAAATATTCATTTTTTTAATGCTTCATTAATTTCATCCTAATGTTTGTAAAAAAAAAAGAGTAAGATTAACGATTAACGTTAAAATGAAACCTTGTGGTTTAAATTGCCCAACCTGTCCCTACACTACACAGAGCTTGGAACAATTATACATCCTCTAATACCAGTAAGAAGATTGAGACTCATGGAACTTTCAACTGTAAAACCATTTTCTCGTGTTTGTAACACTTTTTTATTATTGATTTTGAACTGACGAGGGTCTACCCAGATCAAAATATATTTTCAATAAAATGTGGAACTAACACCTACTTTAAATACTAAATGTTGTTTTTTTTTACAATAAGCAATGTCGTCTTCCTTTCAACTAATCAAATGCATATTCATTCGAAACATGACAATGAGGTTTTCAATTTGTAAATTATGGAAGCTATTTAATGAGACAAAACGATTTAGTAATTTTAACGCCGCTATTTATATTGGATTGAGTTATTGTATTAGAAGGATTATTGATTACAATTTTTCAGTTCACTATATTTGGACTTATCTCTTTTTCTTCTACTAAAAGGTGTCTAGATCACATTTTTCTAATTTAAATCCCATGCCTTGAGACTACATTTGTCCCTTTCCATTAAAATTGATCCATCAGCCCCATAAAGATAGATTGCGCATAAGACGACATTTTTCATCTTGAAAGATATAAATGTACAGAGATGTTTTAAAGATATTCCTATTATATAGATTAACTAGGTCGGTTGTGAACATTGGCTGTTCTTATGTCATTGAGTACTTGTGGTGTATATGAGTTCTGTAGAGAGAAATTTAAGTTAGTTTAGTCCTTCTCATGTCATACTGAAGTTCTCGTCAATATGATATTTATGAAATCCATCAAAACACCAAACCACCCCGCTTATCATTGAAGTCCACTTTGACCCCTAGAAGTATGAGTTCGCGGACTGTACAATTCTTGGTGATTTTGCGACATCTATGTTTATTTATTTATCTATGATCAGCCCTGTACCTCTGTTTTATCATGGATCAAAAATTCATTAAATATTTATTTATCTAGTTTCCTAATGTCATGTTCTCCTTGTCTATTTCCTGTTTTCTCTTCTTTAAGGAAGTTTTATTCTCCAGGATATGTTGATCGGACATTAAACTTGGTGCGCCTGCATCAAAACAAAAGATCAGAATTTTACAGTTCTCTAGGACAGGATAATTTATTTGGATTCTTTAATTTCTCTTTAGGGCGACAACAATCTAACCTGAAACATTAGAATTGTGGATATAAAGATCAATGCTTGATCTCCTCTTTTTGTTAATCTTAGGATAATTTTTACCCTGAGATTAAATCCTAAGAGAGGGGGGAGGGGAGGGGGGCCTTTTGATCTCTTTCCTGACATTCCCGATATCTGTTAATTCACCATTCACTTGATATCTTACTGGTGTATTTCCGTTACTAGTAAATCTTTATTTTATCCCTCCCCCTCATAGCTAACTATACTTCCTGACCTTGTTTTGAGTTTGACCTACTTGGTTTTGGAACTGGAGAAGATCTTGCTAAAATATGAGTCTTCCCTAGTTCATTAATCTTCAATTCTTCAATCTGAAGAGCAAAGGCAGAGCTAAACAAAAACAGTTTATTTTAAAGAATACAACGTTTGATCTCAAAATCCAATGTGGACACTTTTAATATTGAGGATCAATTTCTGCAGGGTATATGACCTAACATTTCCAACTTCAGAAACAACTTAATTGGATTCGCTTAATTTAATATCCAATTAACTAAATCACTCAAAAGTTTACTTTTACTATAACAGAAAAGTATCCTCAAAACATAAACCAAAATAAAATGACGAAAGGAAACTCCCAAATCAATTAACGCTGAAAAAACAAAATAAAGGTTAAGTTTGTTGGAAATTTTTTTCTCACAAAATGTGTTTGCATAAAAAAGCACCAGAGTGTTGACTTTTCAATTTGAGATACAAAAATGGCAAATTAAAAACAGAAAAATAATCTTTATTTGAAAATTAATTCTTTAAAATTTTAAAGGTCTTACCCGTAAGCTATATGAAGAGATGGGGAATCTTGATTTAAACAAAAACTGGCGCAAATTTGAACCTGAATCAACGAAGCTCTTTTTTAAGGTCGTCATTAAAGCTGTATTACTAATAATAAAGAAGCCAGACATTAAGACAAGAAAGACTTGAAGCAAAAATATAGCAATGTATTTTGAAATTTTATGGTCAAAATATAATTCATATCGAAGGGTGAAGCCAAATAATTGAAAAAATTTGAATTAAAACTTCAGAGCAATCTTGTTCCTTGGTAACTTTTCTGTCCTCTTGGGCGCCAATTTCTACCAAACTTGAACACTTGACCTGAGCTCTTCGTGCACCAAACAAACTATATCGATAGATTAGAACACTCCCTAAAACAAATCAAGAGTAAGGAAAAACATGAAATAACAAAAATTGTATTAAAATATTTTTACCATCAACTGTGGTAACAGTGGTTAAAATTTCATCATCCACCACCAAACAAGCTGAATAAAAACTATATGAAGAGATCTCGATTTTTGGAAGAAGAAAAATGAAACGGTACTATCCAGGGGCGTATATAAGGATTTTCTAGGGGGGGGGGGTAATTTTTAACGTTTAGTTTTTTACCCCACCCTAGAAATCCCCCCCCCCCTAGACCATGTACATGATGTATAATTATGTTTTTTTTTTAGTTGCCTTACTGCTTCCGAGCAGAGTGGACCTATACTATGTGGTCCCAGAACTACAGCTGGAGAAGCGCTCAGTTTAGTTAGGCATCTTGAATCCTACAGGGGAAGGAAAAATTGAACATAGATTAGAATACAACTTCATCTTCAGCTTGGTTCACTGAAAGAAGGAGTTTAACCCCTTGTGGATATACACGCCATGCACAACGATACCGGTTTTTTACTCGACCAGATGTAAGGACTGGACCGCTAATAATCATTATATGTTTAAGGACCTAGATCTGATATAAATAGTATAATTATCATCTGTTAACCTATCAAGATCTGATATAAATAGTATAATTATCATCTGTTTAAGGACCTAGATCTGATATAAATAGTATAATTATCATCTGTTAACGGACCTAAATCTGATGTAAATAGTATAATCATCATATATGTTAACCGACCTAGATCCGAGATATATTCGTTGACTAAGAGAGTAATGTAGGCTGGCATTTTCTTCTTGGCACGTTCATCCAGTTTCCAAACTAAAAACATTTTAGCCCCATTTTATTCATGGGTTGGACAACGCCAGTTTAAATCGAATACATTTTTATGGAAATATACCAGACCAATCCAAATTAAATATTATAAAAAACAGCCTTAAAATGAGTAAAATGATAAGGGGGGGGGGGGAGTTTCCCAGAAAATACATATCTCCCCTGAATAAGGTGAGCTTTCTCACATAAACACAATCTTACACAGACATGTCCGATTCAAAACGGTACCCTAAAAATCTTTATTAAAGCACAAGGTGGGAAAATGTCAATTTCTTTCTTTTTCTGCTCCTGCAATAAACCTCAAGAAACCGTGAACAAAAGTAAAAGATTTTCAGACAGAGAAAATAGAGATTAATTCCAGCATTTTAATTGAGAAAAAGGTTAAAAGGGATCCCTTTGTGAATCGGACTGGACTTGTCACTCTTTAAATGCATGGTCCTTGGTCACTTAAAATTATATCTATAATCCATAACATTGAAAGTATTGAAGGATTAAGGTCCAAGGATCGTGAAGTATGAAGGATTAATTTAAAGTAGGTATAGAGATGAAGCATGAATTATGAAAGATGTAGGATCAAGTATAAGTATAAAATATGAAGTATAATGAAGTATGAAAGTCTGTAAGTATGGAAGTATTGAAGAATCACGGATAATGAAGGATGAAGGATGAGGGATGAGGAATTAAGGTTGAAGGATCAAGGTAGGATGATGGATAATGAATCAAGGTTGAAGGATTAAGGTAGGATGAGGGATGAGGAATCTAGGGTGAAGGATTAAGGTAGGATAAGAGATGAGGAATCAAGGTTAAAGGATTAAGGTAGGATAAGGGATGAGGAACCAAGGCAGGACGAGGGATAAGGAATCAAGGTTGAAGGATTAAGGTAGGATAAGGGATAAGCAATCAAGGTAGGATGAGGGTTGATAAATCAAGGTTAAATATTCAAGGTAAGATGAAGGATGATGGATAAGGGACGAGGCATCAAGGATGAGGGATGAAGGATCAAGGATTACCTGAAATATTTCTATCATCTGCTGCCGAGGACAGAATAACTTCAACCTCGTTGTTCTCAACACAAACTAATCTTCTCACCTCGTTAGCATGTCCTAGAGCAATAAAAGTATTAAATATCATAAAAGCATACGAATGTGCGTCCTCATATCCTAATATCACACTAATGTGCGTCCTCGTATCCTTATATCACACTAATGTGCGTCCTAATATTCTAATATCACACTAATGTGCGTCCTCATATCCTAATATCACACTAATGTGCGTCCTTATATCCTAATATTACACTTATGTGCGTCCTTATATCCTAATATCACACGAATGTGCGTCCTCATATCCTAATATCACGCTAATGTGCATCCTCATATCCTAATATCGCACTAATGTGCGTCCTCATATCCTAATATCACACTAATGTGCGTCCTCATATCCTAATATCACACTAATATGCCTCCTTATATCCTAATAACACAATAATTAATGTGCGTCCTCATATCCTAATGTCACACTAATGTGCGTCCTCATATCCTAATATCACACTAATGTGCGTCCTTATATCCTAATATTACACTAATGTGCGTCCTTATATCCTAATATTACACTTATGTGCGTCCTCATATCCTAATATCACACTAATGTGCGTCCTCATATCCTAATATTACACTAATGTGCGTTCTCATATCCTAATATCGCACTAATGTGCGTTCTCATATCCTAATATCACACTAATGTGCGTCCTTAAATATAACAATGATTAATGTGCGTCCTTATATCCTAATATCACACTAATGTGCGTCCTCATATCCTAATATCACAACACTAATGTGCGTCCTCATATCCTTATATCACACTAATGTGCTTCCTCATATCCTAATATCACACTAATGTGCTTCCTCATATCCTTATATCACGCTAATGTACATTCTTAACTTTCATCCTAACGTTCATCCTGAACGAGCATATCCTTAAGGTGCATTCTGAATTCCAAGTGGTTTAAATTAAATCTTTATGCATACTTATATCATGCAGCTCATACCATGATCTTAGTACTTGTTTGAACAGGAAAACGTACATAACAAATTTCAATTTCATGTGAAAATGGAAGATTTATAAGGACAGAATAAACTCCGTACAGTCGTCTTCTCAAGTCTCATCCTTTGAGGGAAACTATATTGATTTTTCTTGAACATAATATCAAATTCTTTCAGACTATTCAGGAAGATAGATAGATAGATAGATAGATATTTATCATTAAAGTACATAATTTTACATAGATATATTCTTTAAACTAACACTTTAATGACGGGATTTGACCGTCTTTAATGGCAAACCCGGATGTAATTGTATGATTTAATTTTTAAATCATACAATTGGAGGTGTTTCGTCCAATAAGCAGGGGAAAAGTATTAGGAAGAGAGAGAGGGGGGAGGGGGGTTATTTAGCTCAATCAGAATCAATAGCTGGCTCAGAACTAAGGATGGCACATTTATTTATTCAGAAATACATGAATAACAGTTTGATTTTGAACATTCAAATTGCAGATACATATTTGTTTTTTATCCACATGCAATTTATTTTTTAACAAGTTTAAAGAACACGAGTTAAACCCCCTCGTATAAAATCATAGATATTATTTAATGTTCATGGGGAATTTTTCTTAGATTAGTTTAGTTAATTTCCTCCAAATACCATACTTGAATAATTTTCCTACAAAAAATAATGAACTGCAAAGGACTTGACTGGTCTAATCATGGTCTCACCTGTAAAAGTTTGGAAGCGAGTTTGACCTTTAATCTCCCAAACATTTATACTTCGACCACCTTCAGACAAGAACTTGATTATTAGAGATATAAAACTTCTAAATTAAAAGTATCAAAAATTGCTTTTTATCCTAATATAAAACCTTTCCAGTCCAAGGTTATATATTTTGAAAAGTTCACATCCTCAAAATGTTTTGCCCCTTAGCCCAAGCATTTCTTATGCATATTGATTTTACAGGGAAGTTAAGGGAATTTTTCTCTTCCAAGGGTTCCCAAGACCAATTTTGTCAACAAAACATCCAGAGCTCAGCCAGGAATGTTTTACTTCCGAATTTGTTCGAAGGAACCCGTGGTTAATTGTAATATCTTTAATTTCACGAGTAAGTAATTGTACAGTGTACACAATTTTATTGTCTTTTGAGATGAAAACACATCTTTTTATCAAAACTAACCGGTGGTTATTTTTCTTTATTGTCCACAGAAACATTGAAAGACCAAACATCCCTCTGTTAAGGGAATCGTGAGTCGGTATAATGTTGACCAAAAAGACGTTTCAACAATTAACAGTTCTTGTTCCCTGTGACAAGCTTTGTATCGTCCATAGTTACAGCAAGAGAATATACAGGATCCTCTCCAGATTTAAACCTAATATACGCTATTTGTAAATAAAATCAGACAGATTTTCTATATTGGAGAAACTAAGAATTTTGCGTAGAAAAATTTGATTGTAAATTTACCTGGCTAACAACTCTAATTCTAAAGTTGAGAATATAGAAACCATTCCATCCTTAACATTACAAATTATTAATCTTAACCCTATTCCTGCTGGGGGCGGGGGGTCAATTTAACCCCCCCTTGTACTTTTTTTTACATGTATGAGGCTGTTGAAATTNCACGCTGCTCTCAGGATTTGAATTAAAAAACAGCATTTTTTAATTGTTGAAGGGCTGGCTCTGTGCTTAATAATATACCAAATTCTTGGCTTGTTTGTGTGTTTAAAAAAATATACTTCCAACAGCTTTAAAATGAACATCATGAGTAACTTAATAAAACATGCGCGCGAAGCGCCAACAAATGTTTGTTCTTTTTGTGTATTTTTATAATGTATTTATTTAGTGCATTTTTGTATGTATTACTATGTTTATTACAGTCTACACCAGTTTTTTGAAATTCCTCCACCAGTCACTTTATAGTTCCTTAATCGTAGATACAAGGCAGGATATGAGACCATTGATGTTATTTATTAATTTGATTAATGTTAATATTAACATATCAATGTTAAAAGTTTATGTTATTGTTAATGCATATACTTAAATGTATTGTTTAAAGTTGATGTTAATGTAATGTTAACATTATATACTGAAAATCATAAACTTTCACGAATTGTTTTAAGACAATGTTAATGTTAATGCTAATGTTAACATTATATACTGACAATCATAACCTTTGATGATTTGTTGAAAATCAATGTTAATGTTAATCTTAATGTCAATGTTAATGTTAATGTTAATGTCAATGTTAATTTTAACATTAGTTACCGACAATCATGAAATTTCACAAATTGTTTAAAGTCAATCTTCAACTAATCTATGGAGGGGAGTGTCCCTGGGGTGGTTCTAAAATACAGAGGTTTTGTCTCTCTGCTCCCACATGCTGATCACCAGATTCTACAACCCATCCGTCATCTGCTGGCCAGAGAGAATAAATCTTCTCATATCTCTCAACTCTCCATGGAATGGTTCCACTACAATCCCAGGAGCACTATCACTTATTATCTCTTGCAAAGACTTCACTATCTTAGCAGGAACTTCTGCTGCGGATTTCTCTCTTATATCTTCAAACCAATCCTGGATAACTTGAACTCTCTCCATGGTGCTGGACTCAACCCTCTTGATCTCTGAATTATTCTTATCCAATCTTGATTTATGGACGTCTATTTTCTGCATAACTTACTGATGATGAGTTCTTTGTAGAGTTACACATAGTATTATTTCCTTGAACATAGATACTAAGAGACATCACAGTCTTACACAGTGTTACTTCTCATATGTAATACTCATATGAGAAGTAACATATATATAGGTTTTTATGAGAGGATAAATAAGACTGACT